GATTCATCAATCTTATATTATTTTGGACAGAATGTCATAAAACATACATTAACAGAGTATTTGAAATTCTAGTACACTGGAACATAATGTGCACACAAGATTTTTTAAAAATATAAACCCTATACTTCTTAGAAATAATTCCTTAATAATAATTCCTTTAGAACATTTTCTATGCCTGTTTAATCCCATTCGACTTCTTCAAAAAAAGTCTAAGTTTAGTTATTTGTTTCAAAGAAGATACATTATAGTGTCCTACGAAATTCTCACAATTTTATGAATTACTGGGAAAAAAATGTTACAGCTGCTAAAGCGATTCGTGAAATTATAAAATATGAGGAGTAAGGTGTCTTTGATCAGTGAATTGCGCAGCGTTGGTTTAAAAAATTTAGGAGTGAAGATAATATGTTGGAAAGGAAGATTGGCTTCTAGCGACCATTAATGACTATTGATGAGGCTCTGATGGAAGCTGTTGACTCAAATCCGTCCACAAGTACTCGCAAACTTGCCAGGGAATGTGGTGTGTCGAAAGATAGTATTAGTCGCCATCTACTCTCAATGGAGAAGGTGAAAATAAGCTTTAGACTGGTCCCTCACGAACTTACTCCTCAGCAATAAGCAAAGTGGTTAGACATATGTAAAAATTTATTGTAAAATACTGAAAAGTGAAGATGAAAAGTAGATTTATTGGCGAAATTTGAACGCCCGTGGAGCAATGACTAGATCGCGGTCAAACTGCTTTTCCGGTGCTGCAAGGGAGGGAAAAGGAGGAAAAAAAAAGGGTGCATTTTATTGAATTTTAAAGGTATTATTCATGACGAATTTGTTTCTGGATATATTCTGAACTTTACAGCGAACTACTGGACAGATTGTACACGAAGATGTCAGGGCGTTATCCCGCTTTGATCAACCAAAAAGGGATTTTATTCCAGCAATATAATGCTCGTCTTCACACTCCCCATCGAACCAAAGAAAAGTTCTATCGAACTTCATGGACTCGGACTCCTGCCTCATCCACTATATAGTCCAAACATCGCACCATTGGATTATTACTTATTTAGATCCATGGCCCATTTTCTTTTCTTCAAGAGAAAAAATTTGATAATTTTTCGGAAGTTGAAATTGCGGTCCAAGAGTTCTTGGCTAGCAATCCCAAAGAATGGTACCTGCGTGGAATCGAGCAACTGGCTAGCAGAAGGCTAACGATGATAGATAACAATGGACTATGCATTGAGTATTAATTATATTTTCTATAATAGAAATAATATTACAGATATTTAGTTGAACAACGTAATTTTTTTGTATACGCCCTATTATTTTGATTTCGAACTAAGAAATAACTTAACTGTAATGTATAATATAGTTACTAACTATAACGCAATTGGATGGCCAGAATCAGATAAAACCTCTAACACTAACTAGCACAACATATTTAGCTTCCTTTTCCCTTAAAATTTAGAACACTTTATCTTTACCACGGGGAATTTCTTTGTCTCCTGGGTTAAACGCTGAAGTAAACTCATTTCGCCTCGGCTCCAGCCAGGGCTGTTCACTGGAGAGGAATCTCTATTCCTTTTCGTTAGCTTCGTTATTTCCTACTGCCTTTAACATCTTTCCTAAACTTGGCAAGTGGAAACAAAATCATATTACTTCTTAATATTGTTCGAATTCGAAAGTAATTGATAAAATTAAACAAAAAGAAAGAACAATCTAAATCAGTCAATGTTAAAATGTTTAGTGCCTAATTAATCGTAGAACTGTTTTACGAAAACCTACATCTCTATATTCTTGAAATTTCGCTAATTGTATAAATTCTATACGATCTACCTGCCTTGTAAACAGTTTTTCCCAGAAATTTTAATTTAGGTGAAAATATTTGATTCATGTTCATTATTTATTAATCAATATCGTGAAATGCTCTTCCTCATCCGTTCAAAAATAAATAAATAAATAGGAACAATGAACGGAAATTGTAGTTTTATGAAAATTTTTAATTTTTGGCAAAAACATGCATAAGCTACCCTAATGATGATCTCTATGATGTTAATAAGATTAATAATGACTTCTTATTTTTTTCGCTGGCATCTGAAGATTTAAAACTTGATATCGGTGGTCATTTCTTTTTTTTTTTAATCTGCTGGTTTATTGAACTTCTCAATTTCAAAGAACCTTTTGAAATGTTCACTGTGAACCACCATATTTTGTACAACTTCCTTTCTGTTACTGTATTAACTATATTAAGCCACCTCGTACTCGTACTGACCTTGCCAAATCAGGATGGGCCAAATCACTGGTTTATGCGGACCAAATTCGAGTATTTTAAATTTCGGAGTAATACCTAGATACCTAAATTGATTTGATTAAAATGTAAAATTAGAGATTAATGATAAAAATTATTCGATTATTGAATGGTTCAAACTTTAAGAGATCGGAACCGCTTTTAAAGTGTTAAAGTATGATAAAATACAACCACTCGACGTTGAGGTTCAAAAATGCAGGTAAGGAACGAAATAAAGCCAATTTTTCGCCAATTCAAGAATCATCAAGACATATAAAAAATTCTAAAAAAAAATTGATCCTCAAATCAAATACCATTCATACAGTAAAAATATGCAAACTTCGCTGTATTGAAGTTCTGTTGTTTGAATTTCTAACATGTATTATTTCTACTCCATCACTCTCGCTCAATCTGCAGTGGGTTAAGCCTAGAGATGGGCTTGCTACTTTTATTACCGAGTACCAATTATTTTACTTAAATTGATTTACTATTGCAAATTCAATCACTAGTTCAGTTAATCGTTATAATCAAATGAAGTAATGAGTAAATTCTTTGATATTCAAAAGAGGTTAGTATTTGAGTATAATACTTGGTACTTAGTATTTTCTCATTCTCAGCCCAAGTGACGGGGTTGATAAAGTAGTGCAGTGATCTCCAGTAGTCCTGCTTTTCCATCGACAGTTGGGTGGACAAGTCTGACTCGGAGTTTCCTCTCCTGATTATAAGTAGTGTATATAGGTATGTATGTGTACTTTAAAAAATATATATATATTTATCATTAATTCGTTTTATTTTTCAACTTAGTTTGGTTTTACTCATTTTTTTCTCTTTTACCATTAACCGTTCTTTTTTACTGAGCTCCCAATGACAAAGGGCCCAGGTTTGAAGCCCGGCTCATGACAGAAAAAATATTTATTCTGTTTCATTGGCCGTGGGACGACCCATGGTAGGTAGACCCTCCTGGGGGCACACCTTGCTTCTATAAAGTGGGTACTCTTAGTTAAAATAATTAATTAAGAGGAAAAATCTGACGGTCGAGCATGATCTCGGTGATATAACCTTCATGCACAACCGTAAACCAAGAAACAGTTATTTACCTTAATAGTACTGCACCCCAGACCCTTCATGGGTTGTACTGGTACAGGAAAATAAATAAATAAAATAAAAAAATTGCAACAAGTACAGTTCACGGATTACGGAAAAGATCGGATTAGTGAGTGTTGAGAAAACACCTTACAAGAAGAGATTGGATCTCAAGTACATAATTAAAACTTTATTAAATGCAAACAAGCGAGTTTATTTACTTGAAAATATTTTGGTGTATTTATAAAAAACAAGACATTTTTTTTCTTTCATTTTTTAATTCAGTTATTTTTCTCTCTCCTCATAATTTATTTTTTGTTTGCAGCTTCTCCTCTCACAATTAGATATGTAATAATGTATAAACGAACCCCTTCATATCCATGCGTTACTTTCCTTTTATTTATATAAAAGAAGATGAGCAACTTTCGGAAAATAAATACGAGAAGGGTGTGAACTAACAAAGTACCGGAAGATATGAGTTCTGCACAGTATCTTTTCTTTTTTATTTCATCCAACATTCCTCCTTTTTAATTCGCACTACTGTAATCTTCGATCTATAAAAGTTTGGAATGCAGATATTTCACTGTATTTTCCTATAATGTGAAACATATGATGCATAAGATTGAATATAATACACATATCTCTCCGTAAAGATCTATAACATAAAATACAAGAAAATTTCTGAGGCGGATCCACAATCCAACTATCTCCTCTATAGGTATGAATGTTCTTTTAGTGGTACAAGTTTTTTTTGTTTTTTTTTATTCTTATTTATTGTATATATATTATTGTACTGTATAATTTATTTTTATCAATTGCACGTGTGTTTGTGAATGTGATCTCTGAACACTATTATAAATGCCCTTTGAGACAGATTATAATATTTCTCTAGAAATAAGTTATATATATATATATATATATATTGTAGGTCTTTAGAACATTAAAAAAGTATATATATTATTTCTTAATTTCAATCTACAATAGGGGTTGCTGGTAGGAGACCCAAACCCATTAACTCATTGGACCGACGAAAAGGAGATTGGCAGGACGAGTGTCATCAGTCAGCCGGAGCTGATAACCTTACATGTTAAATGATGAATCCTCAGCCCCGTGTATCAATCTTCATTAGCTCCTGCTCTTTTGATCCCTTTAACCTAAAGGTTAATGAGCTTTTATTGTTAGCTTATCTCTTACTGGCTCAGACAAATCATCAGGTAATGTTGACAAATGTTGTTTTACATATCTCAACACGAGATGACTTCTGTTTACAGGCAATGCGGATAATGAAATGCCATAAAAGTAATTTATGATATCATATAGGGACCGCAAGCAATTACAGTTATTATTTTATTTTATTTTAAACCCTTCCGTGCCTTGTAGACAATACGGGTGTCTGCAATAGTAAGATGTTAACATCTCAATGCTGCATGTAAAGCTTCATCTTCTGCTCTTTCTTGATTTACTTGAGTGATTTTCCTATACTTTTCATACCAGTGGTCAAGTAGCTCCTCCTGCTCTTCTTAAGTTGAAATGGTCTGATCCCACCGCGGCTTTCCACTCGTTCACAAAATCTTTGTAGTTACAATTACAGTTATATAGATTGATAAAAATATAAGTAAAAGAAACATGCTGAAAGACTCACCCCGTCCATAAAATGAACATCAAGTTGTCACCATGCTCCTGGTTCATCATCTGGACGGCTGACTGGAGGAGAGCCCATGGCGCGTCGCAAGAGTGGTCGCCGAACTGACCCAACTCATTTGATCTCTTCCCTTTGCGGCAGCCTGCGAATCAGAATAATAATAAATTATAAACACGTTATAATATTTAATTCATACAATAATCTAATCGATATTAATCTATAATAATACGTCGCTGTAACTTTAAACAAACACGGATCAATTGTGACCAGTGTTTATTTACCAGAAGAGGTCTGAAACCTTAGTGGACAAGATAATCCTAAAGCCTGTGATATTTTACGAAAGTGAAATGTAGACCCTAACTGTAAAAAATAAGCAAGTAACATGGGAAAAGAAGGTTCTGTGCAGAATTATGGCCCGACGCGTGAAGGAGACCAATGGAGGATGTGAACAAATCAGAGGTTTATAATATGACTCATCCTATGTTTACTTCATAATTAAGAACGGTAGGTTTAGCTGGTTGGGTCATGTGTACAGAATGAATGAAAGAAAGTAATTCCTCCAAGAATGTAATGGCTGGACATTCAGGAAGCAGAAAGAGAGAAGAGTCCAGGTTGCGCTGGCTGGAAGATGAGGAATCGGCACTGAGGAAAATTGGAGGATAGCCCAGGACAAAATAAAGTCAAGACAGCCAAGGTTCTTCACGGACCATAGCGAGATTGAAGAAGATTAAATAAAGAAATAGAGAGAGAGAGAGAGAGAGAGTGAGAGAGAGAGAGAGAGATTTCTTTATCAGAACCTTGAAAAAATTTCACTGTCCTAGAAAAGACATTTAAAAAATATATGGAAATTACTAATTGCATCGCCTCAACAACTTTTTACAAAGTACCTTTATTTGAATTCATAGATTATTTTTCATTTACCTTCTTTTCCTTTTTCCCCTTTTTGCTTTATTAGTTTGCCGTAAAACGCAACGGTTTTTTCGAAGGACAGTAATATCATCTACATATCCAATCTATATATATGGTTCGTTTCTACGTGCCCCTTCAATTTTATATGATGTTCAAATCACCTTTTGTAGTACTAACTTAAACAGTATTGGTAAGATTCATTAGTTTATCGCAAGCAAAGTAGAACTGAAAATATTCATTTGTACAGACTTAGAATTAGTGTTGCCAGAATGCGAGACCAAGATGAGTCTTGGTCTGGCTCATTCAGTTTTAGGCTTGCTCAAGAGTCTGTCAACATTCTTGCAGTTACCTATTGCCTTATTACTATAGAGATATTATTGTAATTTTTTAGATAGAATAAACCTAACTAAACCCGAATGAAAAATTAGTGTAATGCAAAAATATATTAGTTATATAATTATTTACATAAATTAACTAAAATCGTCGAGTATTAATTACTATTTTGCCTCAAATTTTATTGAAAAAAATCGAGTTTTTGCAGGCCTTGGTCTTGGTCTTGCAACAGTTAGCGGTCATGTTCTTTGGCATTTTCGGCAATACTACTTAGAATCGGCCTGTAAGGTTATAAAACATCTTTTTCCAATGAACCCACAGGTTATAGACACATCAAGACATTTAAAAACCTCAGAGGGTATTGGATATAGGGAAACATTTTTTTTTTTTACTGGATCACTCTGGTATTAGAGGGGATGAGCTTGCCGATATCGACGCAAAAAAAAAAATAAAGATCTAAAGAAGGAAAAGATGCATTCACAAAAGAAATAATTAAATTTTAGTAAAAATTTATTACTTTTAGTGGAAAGGTTCAGGAGAAATAACAGTATTTTGGGTATGATTTAAGAGAGAATAAATTATGGATAGTAGAAACCCTCTGTTGTGCCAAATCGAGTGGACTTCCAATTGAAAAGAAAATATTAGGTAATATTAACGTGAATGAGAATTTCTAACGGTATTATTAATAAAGTTGAAATGTTTTTTTATTGAAATATATGAATTAGCATTTTAATCCTATAGAGAAGAGTTAGGTTTTGAAAATAATCAAGTATTTGGTTGAATAGGAACCGATAACTATGAATACATTTAATCCAGGTAATTCAAAATTATTCCATAGTAAACCACACAAAATTTCCTTTAAATGCAAGAAGGAGGTTTTCACTTCATACTCCGGACCGTATCCAATTATAGGCCGAACTTTCAAAATTTGTTCTGTTCATTTACCAAACCGAAAAATATATCGCTAGATAGGGAAAAATTTGCATTTCTAATGGAATGAGAGCTTCTAACATTGAATATGACTACTATTCCTCAGCCTACGAATGACAAAACTCCACCAAAGACTTCCGTTGCTAAAAGTGAAACCCAGGTACCTACACAACTTCTAGTTCCTCCGAAATCTACTAGCAAATTTGGTCGTATGATCCGACCAAATGTAAGGTTTCTTGACACCATCATTGAGGGAGAGCATTGAAGCGAGCTAATACGGTTAATAATTGTCGTTACGCGGAACACGAATAACCGTCACAGATGCTTTCGATTCAAGAATTATTCACTGTGTACAGTTTGCAGATCATGTGCTTTGAGGCATCTAAAATTTAATGCGCTTTACTATATAAAAGAGTGCCATTTGCGAACAGAAATTACAATGTTACAAAATGTATGCCTGGTATGTCATAGTTATTAGGGTTTTTTAGTTATTAAAATTTAATATTTTGGTATCTCTGAATGAATTAAAGCAATTTTGAAAGTTATACTTATGAATGAAACAACGTTTAAAGACTACAATCTTCGGCGGGAAACTGGCGCCAAGCCCTGCAGAACCGGGTTTTTAATAATACTACTGGTACTGGTGGGGGTAACTAGTCCAGCAAATGGGTCTATCGTCGTGGTTCTTTTTGCCAACCCCCGACGGTTACCTTGATGTTGCCCGTACATAACAGAGTGTGAACGTCACGATCTATTTCCATGGCCGCCAAGAAATGAAATGTAACCGACCCAGGTGGGAATCGAACCCACAACGCTCAGAACAAAGACTCTGGGACCCACGGCCCAACGTGCTCGGCCATCACGTCCTCTTTAATATTACTACCTTTAATAACTACGAATATGACTTACTTTAAATATCACACATCTTAAATTTCTTACTTTTCTGCGGAAAACCGAAACGTGGTATAATTGAAATATTTTTTAGCCCTTGAGGTGTACTATTACCTCTTTAAACATTTTCTTTTACTTAAGGGGTGCCCTGTATAATACTGTTAAATATATAATTATATTTACAACTTCGCATATTTAGATCCTCAGATAATTTTTATCATCGATAAATTTTGTTTTAATGGCAATAACAATTAACGGACATTACTATATATCATCAATACATCACCTAAAAAAGAACAAGGTTGTATTATTGTAAAGTTGCCTGATATTGGATAATATGATATAAATTATTAATAATATTAGTCCTCCGACATAAACCTCAACAAGGTGTGTGAATCCTCGTATAGATTACCGCCACACGCTGCCTGTGCTCTACGGCCAAGTTGATAAGCACAACAAACATGAATGTTTGCTTTCTGGATTAGTTATTGCCCTATCGAATCAGGCTTCTCTTGTTATCCCTTCGCTTCACTATTAAGTTCGGTCAATGGCTATTGAATTTTTAATTCGGTCGATGTATCCCTCCCATTGACACAACTTTCAACTTCAAGAAAGGTTAATCAAAGAACCTTAATAAATAATCCCACATCTTATAACGGTAAAGCCGTTTAGTTAATGATATAAGTATATATCTTTATTAGGTAATTATGGTAGGTACAACAATAAGCAGTATAATATGACAACCATTCATAAAGAATTATATATTAACACTTATTTATAATGTACCTCATAGACGTAAAACACTTGGACCATCAAAAACTAATGTTTTTTTTTTTAATTTATAGTGATAGTTCTTAAATCCTTCAATTAATAAAAAAAAATAAAAAAACAAATGGACTTTGAAAATTAAAAAGACCTCTGTGACGGCTAACATAAAAAAATAATAATAAAGATACTATTCTTCAATATTAGCCTTTTTCAGTATGAGAAAGAATAAAATAAAATGTTAATTCAATGGTATTATACAAAATAAAAGTAGGTCAGAAGAATAAAAAAAATTTTAAAAAAGACACAAACGAATAAGCATTATATTTTTTTGAAACTAATACTGATAATAAATTTACACAATATAAACAACTAAATGAATACAGCGAAACAAAAAGAGTTAAATCTTAAAATTAAACAACTTTTTATTTTACCATAAAGTTTTGCTATATTAATTTATTTTATTTGATTAATATTTATATCGGCCAAAGATCTACAACTGGGAAAAAAAATATCTATATTCAGATCATAAAATTCATTTTATTTTCTCGCGTATCAATATTATATTTCTATTTTTTTTTAATTTCGTATACATCAATAACTTTCAACCTTTTCTTGTAACAAGAATCCTTTTCTCTTGTTGTCTCTTAAAAAAATTAAAATAAAAAAACTTTTAAATATTATGACACTAAATAACTTTTTCATGAAATAAGCATAAGCATCAAGGAAGATTTTGACAAGACACTGATTAAAATTAAATAGAATTAAAATAACTTCTTTGGCAGTAATTAATTTAATTAATACTATTAAATGTATGGAAGGAGATGTTCTGGGGTGGCGGTCATAAATAGTGGCAAACTATTTCATCGTTAGAAACTTCTTGATGAACACACCTCCTTGAAGAAGACCTGCATAGTCGGGTCGAAACCTTTTAAATAGTTTTGCCAATATTTAGTCTATTTATGAACGCCCCCTCGGACCATCTCCTTCCTTAATAATAAAACGGTCAACTATTAAGTATTCAATATTAAATGTATGTTTTAAACCGAAGCATTGAGTCTAAGACTTTATGGTTTGAATTTTAAATTACATTCTATCCTCGTTTTTAAGAAATTTTCTCGTTTATATTAATATTATTTTTTGTGAAAAGAAACTGTTGGGTTAATCACAGAATTTGAAAAAAAATTCGTATTATATTATATTATCCCACATATAATGATAAATTGTAATACATATATCACAGTAGATACTCACATCTATAGAGGAAATAGTTGGGTTGTGGATCCGCCACTGAAATTTTCATATATTTTATGT